TATATATATATATATTTGCATATTTAAGTTTATGTTCTGCTAAGCATTGTTCCAATACCGATACAAGTATCAGAAATTTCTCTGATACTGCCTAAAATGTGGTATCAGGTATCAGTAAGCACACGTCTGTGCACCGATCCAATACTACGCAATTGTTTTGCCTTGAAACGGGACCATGCTACTTCCTAGCAGTGTCCTATTTGCCATTTTTTCCCCCATGACCTGCCATGCTCTGACTGGCTTACCCTGATATTCTCAGCTTTGTGAATCTAATCAACCCAAACCAACAAAGGCATTTTTTTTAAATGTACTGGAACTGGATCAGTACTCATATTGGCCAATAGTCAAAGTTCAGATACCTGAATAGGGAAGGAAATGGTATCGGAACATCTGTAGTTCTGCTTGTTTAACGGCTGTTTGATACATTACTGATTAAACACATTTGGAGAGGATTTTAATATTTTTATAAAACTATTTTTACTCTAAAATCTTATCAGTTTGCTGCTGGTGATTTTCCTTTGGTGCTGCCTGAAACCTCTTTGGTGGGCGCCAAAAATCCCTCTATGCTCAAAACCCCAACCCTAATATTAGATTCTTCTCCTGCTGTGTGCCTGAAAGGTTGACTGAAACATGATGAGTCATGGTTTCCATCCACCCAGAGCGTGGGACAATCATAAGGATTGGCCTATATAATAGATGAGCTTTACTACAAAGTGAAATAACTGTGGACTGATTGTGTTGTAATGTATCATATATAAAACTGATTTTTTTACAGACAGGGTGGCACTACAGCAACCATACCACAGTGTGGCCTGTTACTGTGATCAGGTCTCTGGTGCATGCTACGGTAACTGCAGTATGATTGCAGGTCAACGCCCCCAGCCACACACTACAGGCCCTGTCAGCTTAATGCGATTGGCTGCTCTCGAAACCACATATAGAGTATGTCGACTATAAGCCAGACACACACAGGGAGAAAAGCGGGATATACCAGCTAATACACAGAGGGATATAGTGGAAAATGGGCATGGCGGGCAGGACTGGAGGAATAGTGCAGGAAATCAAAAATCAAGCTCAGTATACTGCAATAGGCATTATCTAATGGAGTAGACGGAGGTCAGTGGTCCCGTTGTGTGAATGCTGTGCATGTATCACTCACTCTTTGCAGGCGGCGGAGACGTGGGCCGGTACAGTGTATTTACAGTCCATGATCATGGTGAGGGTCTCGCTGTCGTTAGCTTCCTGGAAGGGCGGCTGGCCGCATACCAACATGAACAGGATCACACCGAGACTCCAGATATCTGAGGCAGAGAGGGAACCAAACAGAAAGGCAGTCTGAATCCATGTGCACTGGCAGACAAAGTTGTTTTTGTTTTGTTTTTAATTGCAGCATACATGATTAAAGCTTTTGTAAATATTATAAACATTTCTATTCAGTCAGAATGACAAAAACAAATAAATAAAGAATAAATAACACCCACAGTACTGGGTGCAAACACCAGCTGTGATGTGGGCTATAGTTTCCTTTTTTCCAAGATGGATAGACTCCCAAGTTATTTTTACACATTTATTCATTTAACACATTCATATAATAGAAATAGAAAATCTACAAATGCAGATGCAAGGGTTTGCTGCTGAATGCTGACAGAAATTTTTTAGGTCAGCCTCTTCTCCCACACTCAATTGTTTGTATTTTCTAATATTCTATTTTTTGCCACTGTATAGTAATTAAAAGCCCAATCTCACCACACCCTGCGGCAGCGACTAAAAAAGCCACTAACATTTTAATGTGCTCAAACGTCAATAAAACAGCCTACTGGAAAAGTTGAGCTATGAAATACTGCTAAACCTTGGGTAGCGTGTGAACTTTAACAGTCTGTTTTGTCATGCAACACGTTGTTACGTTCCTTATTATCTGGGCAGCAGATCATATCATCTCTTTAAAAATAAACTTGAAAGCAACGATCGATGCTACAGAGAGGTTAAAGCCCACTGACAGCTGATCCCGCTGTGCAGGCGTCATCACTGACTGATGCCACTTCAGATGATGCTTGAGTGGGAACGATGTCTCATTTTACAAATCTGCTTTTCATCGATGCGCGTTTCCTCTTCTGTCTTCAGAAAAGGTGACTACGATGGAAAAGATGCCATTAAATGGAAACGAGCAGACAATTACGGGAAGTGGGATGTACTCAAGAGCTTGGAAAACAACAGGGATGGAAGGAAGTGTGGGAAGAATATCCTACAGTAAACATAAACAACAATGCTTCCCCATCTTCTGTCTCCCATGGCATTTAAAGCAGACCTGCTCTCAGCATTACAGGTGGAATGTGGAATGGCTGTGCACAAATAAGGAGCCAATGTTTGCGTCCATAATATGTCCATTTCAGTGAAACCCAAAACAAGCTGTACGATGTTATCATGCAGAACAAGTGTGTGTGCAAACAAAGTCAATTCATCTCTGTGTGTATCTGCACTTGCTAGTTGCACCCTGAGAAAGCAGACTGTCAGCATGCAGAATCACTGGGCCATAGAGACTTTAAACAACCCAATACACATGTGCACGCACACACACACACACACACACACACACCTCGCTCCAGCAGTGTGAAGAATGGTAACAGAACTAACAGCAGGAGGATGAGAAACAGCCTGCAGGATGGAGCCGGGACAGTAAACAACTTCATGTCACTGCTTACAGTATGCAGTGTCCTTAACTCTCTCTTCACACGCAGGCAGGCAGGCAGATATTTGAGCAAGTTGCTTAAATACACATTAAACAGCACAGATATGTGTCCTAACATACCCATATAATCACATACAAGCATTTGTTAATTTGTATGAACATTTCCATCTCCAATCCGATGTTCAGCAGAGAAGCTGAGCCAACTCACTCAGACTGGGAGGGAAAAAAAGACATCACAGCAGCTCCAGTCAAATATTGGCAGCTCTGAACGTAATTACAACGATGAGGATTTTTAAGTAACTTTCTAATTAAGCTCAAATGCTCTGATGCCCTCAATACTTAATGGGTTGGCTGAATGGAGTCCTGAATCAAACTCTGAAAACTTGCTGAGAAGTATGATAAAGACTTTTCACAGGGGTTATGAAACGCGGTTAGTCGCATGCTTAGCCTTGAGTTAACTATCTGAGGCATCCTAAATTAGCCTAGCCCTATCTTCACACCTGACTTAGTTGGGTTAGTATAAGCGTTGCAGGACTCGGCCTGAGGCTACGCAGTGCTGTGTGTAATTAAACTAACTGAGTGCTCATTGAGAGAGCGAGCAGCAGGATGAGCCGGACTGGAGGCCGTACTCAGTGCTTATGAAGTAAATGTCATTTGTTTGGTTGGAATTTGAATACAATCCATCAAAACTCAATCTCCAGACACACCTGTGCCTCAACAACATGTCTGACAGACACACCAGCTCTGAGTGGCTCTCTCATGCTGTCTGTCACAGGTGTCAGGGTCAATGTCTCCGCTATATCAAGCATGGCACAGTATAGGAGGGGAGGGTCCCTGAGGCAGGCTTTCTATCAATTCTGTTCACCCATTAGCATTGGACACAGCATGCATAAGGAAGCAGCTGTGGCAGACAGTGGTCCCCCACAAGCAAAACACAGGCTATGGAGCAGTTCAGAGGATAATTCCTGTTTTCTGTCCGACTTCCAGATGGCATTTGTTCTGAGAGTAGGCAAAAGTGAAAGGCATTAGTAACATTGAGCCACTGCTAAAGCTTAACAAACGGGCTGTTACAGGGACAACAGAGGCAGTTTTGTCTGAAATGAAAAATGCATCAGTAAGGTCACTGTGTTCCTAATCCTGTTTATAAAGCACCTGCAATGGTTTGATTGGACCAAAGTGTGTGTAACAGCTATTAGTCAACCAGACTAACTAAGCCGTTCATTTTAAGCATGTTAATGGATCAAAAAGCTCCCTGAATACAAGATGATAAAACATGCCCAAAGAACAGCTGGCGTACATTTCCAAGTGCTCGCTGTGCTCAACATGACCACATCTGCAATATTTTGGAAACCTAAAACAACTGTCCTCCAGCCTGTACTGATGACTCGTCTCTTGCTGAAATATGACCAGACACGGATGCGGAGAAAGGTTAGCTCAGCATGACATCAGTGTAGCATCTCGCTGCTCAGCGTGCCAATTAGGGCTCCGGAATGTGTTGACAAACAAGGGATCAGGCTCTGCTTCTGTTCTAACACTGAGGGAGGCTGAGTGTGTGTGTGTGTGTGTGTGTGTGTGTGTGTGTGGTGTGTATATGGTTGTGTATATGTGTGTGTGTGTGTGTGTTATTGTGTGTGTGTGTTGTATGTGTGTGTGTATATGTGCTGTATGTGTGTAGTGTGTGTGTGTGGTGTGTGTATATGTGTGTTTGTTGGTGTGTGTGTGTTGTGTTGTGTGTGTGTGTGGTGGTTGTGTGTGTGTGTGTGTGTATATTACGGCTTGCATAAATTCTGCTTACAATCTTAGAAATGATGGACTTTGATGTTGTAGCTGGACAATAAGATACTGTCTGGCTCTCAAAGGACGCAGTTTAAACCGCCCTGCAGGTTGTGAGTGTTTGAGTATGGTAGAGCACAGCCTGCAGACCTTAAAGGGGACCTCCCCTGACTTTATGGGTGTTTTACATGCATAAGTGTAAAAAGTTGTATAAAGCCTTTATAGGGCTTTTCTATTAGCGCTGCGCTGATTTGGATTTCTATTAGCAGTTTAAACTCGCTGAGCTGTGCCTGAGATGGACCTTCTCCAGAGTAGGGCCAAAGCGCACCCCATCCGCCTCCAAGCCTTCTCTGTCTTTATCACCATAATGGAGCTTAGTTAGCTGCTTTTCTTAAACAATGAAAAAAACAAAAAAACAGCGGTCCCTCGATCTTCAGCTCTCTCTGCAATCAGCGGCTCTCTCCCTGTACAGACAATCGTTCAAGCTGGTAGCCATGTTGTTGTGGAAATGCAAATCTGTGCCGTGCAGAACGTCAAGTCAAGCCAAACCAGCATGTGTAGGGAAAACAGTCATAAGTGTGTCCAGAGGAAGCTGTGTCTGAAAAATATCCTCAGGTGATGTCACTTGAGGCAGCGTCAGTTGGAGCTGAAGACTACAAGGGTGAAAATCTGAAGGTGTGGAGTTAGAAAGAAGTGAGCTTACCACTCCTCATCTCTGTTTGAGGCTAGCAGTGCGTGGCTACATTAGCGGCTGCTACCATAACACACCCAAATATATGACAGAAGTGTTGATGAGTTGCATTCTGGGTAATGTAGGTACCAGGTTTTGACAAGGAAATAGCATAAGTGTAAAGTCAGTAGCCAGGAGGAAAAATAAACATCAGGGGAATAATTATTTTTAAGAGAAGTTAATCAAGCTATAGTCTGACACACCCACAACTCATGTCAACTCTGTCTTCCAGGTGTGACGCTTTATTCCCCCACATGGAAAATAACAGCAGGCAATATGGCAGTATCAATTTATCTTGAGATAAACACTATGCAGCCCGGACTGGACTCTGTACTAAGGACGTCCAGGGCTGCCAGTATTAAAATGAAATACTTTATTTATCTTCACAGGGCTCTGTGCCCACTGCTCTTACAGTATACAGACGTGGTAACCTTGGCTTGAAACCAAGGCAGCGGAATGGCTATGGCATTTCAGCCAAATTGCTATGAGACTAAACTGAGGGGGACAGGCTGATATGCTAAGAAATAAACCGTTCATCACAGCCAGTAAAGTTGTCTGGAAGAGTGTTGTAACCAAGAAACATGTCTGAAAGCCAAACATTTTCTTTAAGAACAAACTCTCTGAAGGCATGTTATTTGTTGCTGCTAGGCTGCTGAAGACACATTTATTTTTCCTGCCTGTGAATGGTTCTGTAGTTCCAACTTGAGTCTGGGTATTTTATTAAATATGAATATAAATGCCATGAACTGTTTAAATTCAGCTTTGGAACAATTACTCTAGGAAGAGTGTACTTCTCGTCTCCCACTCTCAGCTGCCTACTTATTCTTTTCTGTTACTGGGCACAAGAAGCCTGGCAGTCTGGCTAAAAAGAAATCAATACCTAAAAAGGATCTAGGTCATAGCAGAACAATTTAGCATGCTCCTGTATACTTTGGACTTTATTACAGTCCTCCTCTGTGTGTGGTCTTGCTTTCTCCTCACAGGGTTCAGGTTCCCAACTGTCACAAATCACTGATAACCAGCACAACAGCAAAACACGAGTTTCCTTTCACTCTACACTAACTGTGTGTGCAACACAGAAAGGGGACTATTTCACACCAATAACAGTACGG